GCGGCGCCGCACCCTCAATCATCGCCCCAACAAGTTCAACTCCTCGAGGGGCATATTTAAACGAAATATCGAGAACATTATTTTTTTCATGTCCCCCCACCTTTAAGGGAGATTCTAGTTTTAGAGCAAGGCGAGAAGAAGGCGGAGGGGAATAAACTACAGAACAATATTCCAGAATCGGGAGAACATAACATTTGAAAAGATGAATGTAGAATTCTGGAGACTTAGATCTAAATGACTTTAAGAGCTGTTTGGAACGGAGAAGAGCTAGAGATGTGATTTTGTTGATGTGAGCAGAGAATTTGAGAGAGGAATCAGTAATGAGTATCAAGTCCCGGACGGAGGAGGAGGGAGTAAGTGTGACACCCGCAATATTGAGAGGATGGGACGAATTATGGGAACCTAGGCGAAGAAGGGCAGTTTTAGAGTGGGCAAGAGGGAGATGGTTGGCGGTAGCCCAATTTACAACCATGTTGATACCAGTTTGAAGGGCGATTGGGTCATGAGAATACAATTTGATATCATCAGCAAAGGCGGCAAGGTGAAGAGAGGGGATTTGTTCAAGTTCTAAGAGCAGATCATTGATGAATATGAGAAATAGTAAGGGACCGGAGACTGATCCTTGAGGAACACCAGAGGGAATGACAGAGGAAGGGGGTCCAATAAAATCGTAGATTTTGACAGAGAACGTTCGACCAGAGAGAAACGAGGAGAACCAAGCTACGTAAGATTTAGGGATTCCAAAGCTAGCAAGTTTCTGGATGAGAAGTTGATGATGTACCTGGTCGAAGGCTTTGCGGAAATCGAAAAAGACGACGTCTAGTGTATTGTATTTCGAAAGAGTAGCTTTATAATTCGAAACAGATTGAACTAGAGAGGTGGTGCAGGATCTGTTGGAGAGAAAACCATGTTGAAGACTACTGAATTGATGGAGGAATTCCATTTGATGCGATCACATACCAATCGTTCGAAAATTCGAGCGAATGGGTCAGTAAGCGAAATGGGGCGATAGTTTTCGGGCGATGATGGAGAACCCTTTTTTGGTATGGGAACGACTACTGCGTGTTTCCAAGAGTCGGGTACATATGACGTGGAGAGTGAGTCAGAGAAGATAAAAGTTCTTCAAATAAAGTCGACAATTCCTTCAGAAACTCACTCCAAAAAATGGGAAATTAGTACTGTAATCACTTTCATAACTCATAACTTTTTTCACAGGACTGGGGAGCAAAAAAATGACTTCAGTTCTGTAATCAGCGTACCCAATAGTACCAATGACAATAGTTTGAGCAAAATCGGAAACATGCGGTTTGTCTAGAATCTTCAATGGACCACAATCCTTTGAAAATTGTGGAAAAATAGATGAAAACAAAAAGTTTCGGAAATAACAAGGAAAACACTTAAAATCAAAACTAAAACCGATTCCGAGTATTTGGAACTATATAGGATCCCCTAGAAATCAGATACAGTCACCAGAAAAGACGAAGAAAAAATTCAAAAAAAGTTTAGCAGCTCGAGGGAGTTGAACCAGAGAGTGCCCACATCATATTCCTCCTCACTAACTTCTCAACCACGCTTCCACATTTTTTCAACACAGTAAAACTTATATACGCGAGGAGGGAAAATGAGATGAAAAATCCACGTCATTTTTTGAAACTTTCGACCCAATTTTCTCGAAAACTACCGCGACTACGCGACAAGGCACTTTTTGAAAACAGATTTGGAATCAGGAAAATGTCAGCTTTCAGATGATATAGGTCACCACCCGTATCGCCACACCCAACTTGGGCTCTTCCCTAGTTAAACTTAACTGATGTTATGATAATTCTGTAACACAAAAAACTATTAAACCAGGAAATAAGATCTCCTAAAACATTTCATGGCGAGCATGTGTTTCGAATCCTGACAAAATAAGAATAACGATTTTCGTATTTTTAAGTGTAGGTTTATCTGAATCCGAATGAATGATCCTCACAATTAAAAATATCAGCGTTACAGAGGGAAGTATTTATAAGAATATGTAGACAGTCTACATATTATTATATTTTGATTGGAAAACAAATTGTCATATTTTTGTTCTTTCCAGTTATTCGATTGTCAATTTAATTAAAAAAACACATCGAAACGAATACAGAGAAACAGAGTTTTTAAAAAGTATCGTTCTTGAATTTTTCATTTTTCATAATGTCAACAACTACAGTTTAAATATATTTTTGCAATAATCGTATACCAATTATACTATGTGTCAACATTTCAAACGGACTAATCAGTGTTTTTACTTTATTGGACCGCATAAAATTTTACTGAAACAGCATGAACACTTTTTGGTTTTTTATTTTATTTTCTGAACTTCATAGCCTTGGAGTATTTTGCGTTTTCAGAATTTTTACTACTGTCATTTAAAAAAGGTTTCCGAATTCGAAAGTGAACTTTACTTTTGAAAACTGTGTGTTTGAATCCTTTACAGTTGCCCTTGCTCTATGATATCGAAATTGAAAAGTTGGAAACTTCTCCAGTAAATTTTAATTCGGAAACAGTGATTTCGTTCAGATCTAAAATGTATATTTTTACTCAAATTATGAATTTTAATGTTTTTAAACGATTTGGTAATAAAACTAGTGTATCTCATATTTTACTGAAAGCTTCAACTTTTTAAAAACCGATTCAATTATTTCCTGAAACGAAAACCGGATCAATGATTTTATTAAAATGACCTGAACTTCTAAATTTTGAGGAAAGCCCTATTTTTCCAGCTTCGGTCACTTTTTGAGATTATTTTTAGGCATTCTTTTTTGAGATTTTCTTTAAGGTACCCAAAAATGTGAATTCAGAAACAGAGACTTTTTCTAAAAAGAATCTGGACAAGGAACCATTCGAATCATTTGAAGCCAAATTCGAAGTTTAGAGAAAACCTTAAAAATATTCATTTCACTTATTTTCAAACTTTCCGCTGACAAAAATATTTTTTTAAAGTTTCATTCCTTTTTTTGCTGTTTCCAAATGGTGTTTTTGTTGCAGAATTTTAGTTGAAAATTCAATGGTTCTTCTCTCTCTCTCTCTCTCTCTCTCTCTCTCTCTCTCTCTCTCTATCTCTCTCTCTCTCTCTCTCTCTCTCTCTCTCTCTCTCTCTCTCTCTCTCTCTCTCTCTCTCTCTCTCTCTCTCTCTCTCTCTCTCTCTCTCTCTCTCTTCAAAGTAGCCTTCAAGAGCTGGAAATTTCGTGCAAAGCTGCCAATTTTACAGGTTTTCCAGGGACACAAAACCGTGTTTTTTTCTTCGGCATCGTTTTGAGGTCCAAAAAAAGAAGGTTTCTTGCTAATTTACACCGGATCGCGAAAAAAACCCCAGCTACAACGAGGAAAATCAAAGTTTTGTGTCCCTGGAAAACCTGGAAAAATTGGCAGCTTTGGACGCAACTTCCAGCTCCTGGAGGCTACCTTGAACGCAGCTTAACAACATCGTACTGAAAAATGGGTTTGCAAAATTAGCCATGCAAAATTAGTTATATTTTCGCAGATTTTCGAAATTTCCTCAAAAAATGCCCTTAGTTTGTTTCCAGATTTAAAATGTTTGTTTTAGCATGATCAACAATCGTAGTGAGAGAAAATTTTGAGAAAATGGCAAATTTAAATTTTTTGAACCCCGGTTTATCAGCTTAAATTGATAAAAATAAAACAGCGCCCTACTGAACAGAACCTTTTCCGTTCGAATTTTTAGCTAAGATCTGATTGAAGCCGCGATTTTTGAAAAGAACTCCCTCGAATCTGGAAAAGAAAGCAATTTTCTTAAAGGTGGTGTACGGTGAAATTTTTTATTGCATCAAAATGTGCAGAAATGCATGTAGATTGACATAAAAATAAAGAAAAAATTCAAAAAAAATTCCTTCATCGAGAAAAACGCATCGAAAAATACGCTGAAAGCCCTTAGGGACTAGGTTTTTTCTAGGCCGCCCGGTGTGTAAAAGCGCGCGAATTCAAACTTTTAAAATTTTTTCGCTTGTTTTCACTTTTTGTTCGGTTTTTTCAAAAGTTTTCTAGGTTTTTGTCAATTTTTCTTCCAGATA